CATAAAAGTGGTGGAGGGGGGCGGGGGGCAGGCCGGGCGCCCCGGGGAGTCTTCACCTACATTGCACTCAGCCCCGGCGCGAGCGGCGCTCGGGGTGGGGACATTCAGGCTGCGCCCGGGATGGCGGAGGCTCCCCGAGCCCGAGCCGCGGGGCCGGGTGACCGGGCGGCGGGCACGGCGGGCGCGGGAGGGTCTGCGGCGGGCGGCGCTGCAGCAGCCCGGGCACGGCCGCCGCCCGCGGGCGCGAGTGTGCGCGGGTGTGGAAGGCCGCGGGGGGCGTGCGCGCGTGAGGCGGAGCGGGGCTCGCCCCTCGCCGGCGCCCGCCGCCCCGCCGGGGATCGCGCTCCGGCCGCCTCCAGCACCCTCGGCGCCCCGCGGCCGCGGGTCCGGGCGGGGGAGGGAGAAAGTGAGACTCGGTGTCATCACCGTCCATTGTCAGGAGGGAAGGAAACTGGAACCCAGCCGCGGCGAGCGGCAGCTGGGCGGTCACATCTGGGAATGCAAAGCCGACCTCCCCCTCCTGCTCCCCCACCACCTCCTCCTCCTCCCCCAGCCGGGATCACTTCCGAAACCACTTCGCCTTCAGCCCCTGCCTCGGCCAGAGGTTTCATTTTTAACTGAATATTTACGCAAGCTGGAAGCGTGCGAGGGGGGTGGGGTGGGGTGGAAATAGCGGCTGCTTCTTTTCCAGGGATTTATTTCATGGGGATGTGTTCACGGCAAGAGAGAATTCAGAAGGATATCGACGTCGTGATCCAGAAGTCCAGAGCCGAGAAGGACTGCCTGTTTGCAGGTGAGTTCTCCGTCTCCGGCGCCCCGGACCCGGCGCCAGCCTCCTTGCGCGCCCGCCGCCCCCTCCCCAGGTCTCCGCCCGCGCCGTGTGTGGCTGGGGGTGGGGGGTGGGCTGCCCGTCCGGGTTCTGGGGTTCATTTGGCAACAGCCGCTGCAGCCAGAGCTGGAGCCAAAAGGGGGAGGGGGCGCCAGCCTCTCCCCTTCCCTCCTCCCCCCTCCCCCCAGCCTTGGGCAGCCACCAGCTTTGGGGCCAGACCCTGGGCAGCCCGAGCCGGGGGGGCGGGCGGCGCGCTGTATTTCCAGCCCCGGGTGGGTACCCCGGGCGCGCGAGCCCGCCTGGGGTGCAGCCGCGGCGGCCGAGCCGGGGCGCAGCCCCGCCGGCTTTGCGCAACGGGCTGAGCGGCGCGGCCGGGAATGGAGCCCGCGCGCTGCGCCGCGCTGGCCGGCTGCGCTCGGCGCGGAGGCCCCCGGGGGGCAGCGCCAGGTCGGTCTCCCGCCCCTCTAGCTCCCCCTAGTCCCCTCGACTGGCAGTGCGTTGCCCCGGAAAGAGAAGCGATTCCTGGGGTGCCCGAGGCACCCCACTCTCTGGGGGTCGCCTGCGTCCATTTTGCTCCCCTGGGAGAGGGAACCGATTTTTGCTTTCGTAGCCCCGAGCTCCGCGGGGGCCGCTTCCGGCCGCCCCGACTGGGAAATAACCGCCGTTGCCATAGCACCCGGCACTTGTTGCGGGGGGCGGCCTCCAGCCGCACCCCGCCCGCGGGGCGCAGCGTCCCCTCCCGCGCGCAGTGGGGACCTCGCGGCGCTGTGACCCTCCCTTCCCGGCAGGCCTCCCCGGGGCGCCGCGGAATATGGGGCCCCGGTCAGGAGCAGGGGTAAAAATGCACTCTGGGGTCGCTTTTAACAGGACTTTACGTTTCAGATTTCAGATACTCTGACTCCACCTTTACTTTCACCTACGTTGGCGGCCCCAAAAGGTATTTATGTGTATAGAGTTGCTTCATTTCCTGTTCACACGCTTGTGTTTCCTTTGTTCTGAGCGTGTTCCGTGTTCGGGTATTTTTGTTTGCTTTTCGTTTTCTCACTGGGTTGCTGTCCCATAGCCACATCCCGAGCCTGAGGTCCCCACATTTTAAATAGTGGAGAGACTATGAATACGCTTGATTCAAGTGTTTCCAAAATCACGCCCCAGGCAGGGGCAGAACTCTTACACGCTTGTGTTCCAGCAATTTTACAGTAATTTTGCCTGTTCTTGAAGCATTCGGAGTTGATATAGTCAAGTGGGTGCAAAGCCGGGTGTGAAGTGAAATGAATAAAAGACGTAGATGTTACAAAATAGTTTGATCGCTTGGAATGGTTTGTTTGCCTGGTGAGTTGGGGCAGCACGTTTTCTGAAGGTTGACACAAGCAGGCAGCATGCCAGTTCTTCATGCTTTTTTTTTTTTTCCTTAAGGAGTGGTGTTTGGTTTTCACTTTTAGTGGTAGGAAAGAATTTGCAAGTTACATGTGGCTGCAGCCTCAAACTTCATTCTGGAGGAGGAGGAATCGGAACGGCATGTATTAATACTAAATTGTTCATAGTCTGAATGAAGTCCAAATCCAATTTTATATTTAACAGATAAAGTGAAAAATGAAAAGTATCCATTAAAATATGTCTTGCTGTTTTCATTTGTTAGGATTTTCTGTCTTTTAGCCTTTTGGGAACATAGTGGTTTAAAAGAGTGGTGGCCACATAAGAGAACTGTCAGATTTAGTTTTGCTTTAGGACTTGACATTCAATATCATTTGATCACATTCCAAAATATCTCTTAGCTAATGGAAACATTTATGAACATATACATTGCAAAAGAACTATTCTTCTGTAGAAGAATACATTTTTTAAAAATCTTGGAATTTATGTGAGTCTTTAAAATGTCTAGGATCTATGTTGTAATCTGTATCTCAAGAAAAGCTTTAATTAAAAGTTGTCACGTTTCTTATATGTAGTATTCCTGCCCCTGAGGATTGGTATGTGAACATGGTTTCAGTAGTGGCAAATATAACATTGGATATGAATTTACTGGGAGAGAAGAAAATTATAGTGTTTACTCATTTACTGTAGTTCAGTCATTTTTGAAATTATGAATAAAAAGAGTATTTAGAGAAGATTCTACTAAGTGCTGCTTCTACACTCAGTATACTATGGGTGTTGGTATGTGACTATTAACCCCTTGAATTATTTTAAAATATGCCATTGAAAACACTCTCCATGCAGTCAGGTAGCACCTGCTGAAGTTGTCTATTTCACAGTTGTTCCTATTCACTAGTGGACAGTGCGGACTGGGGGGCTTTTCAGCTCTAGCGTTATGATTTTTTAATAAGATAACTTGCGTTCTTTGGCCTTGGTTTGATTATCTGTATAGTGAAGGCATGAACCAAACACCTCATCTCTAAATTCTGTTAGATACTGCAGCAAAGCTTCCTTATCACCAAACCAAATTACTGAACTACACTGTAGCATCAACATGGCAAGAGGTGGAGAAGGATTCAAAGTCTCTAGAAGCAAGGCCAGGGGGTTGGGTTGAATAATTAACTAATCAAGATAACATCAGTTTTCACTGTAAGAACAAGTACTGTGGTTGCTCTTAAAGTATGAGATGTTTTTCCGTGTAATCCTATTAAGGCATAGTGTTTTCTGTTGCCTCAACTTAAATACTTGGCACTTGTTTAACTAATGTGGAATAGTCTGTTAAAAAGGAAAAATTACTGGTACACAGATGATATGATTGCTTTGTGTTCTCAAAAGCTTGTTCTACAATATAACATATAAAAGTTGGTGTGAGTGTAGTAAAAATAATCTCTTTAATGTACTCCCTTTATGGGTTTGTGCCTAGTGGCAGAGAGTTCTGAAAATAAAAATATATTCTTTCCATTAACTACAGTAGAATCTGATATCTGTCATGTATTTCTGTGTGATGTCAATCAGACTTTAAGAACTAAAATAAATTTAATTATTATGTTCTGTTTTGATTGAATGTGCTTATCAGTTTATAATATTCAATAGTGTCATTTCAGGGAAACGAGGCTTATTTCACTGGTAAAGGAAGTGGGAATTTTGGAGAGATAGTGCATCGTTATCTTGAATTATCGTAACTTATCATATCATCTAAACCATTAAGAACATATCTTAAGAATAATTTTCAAGTTGTGGATAAAACTTTATATGCCGTTTCCTCTCTGACGCTTTCCAAGAATGAGTTACACTTTTTTTTTTCTGAAAACAAGGTTGATCTAGGGATTTTTGTTTACTGATACATCTTGTATGTTTTTGTGAAAAAGAGGAAATGCCAGAGGTGACTGTGTGGGGCTGGCCAGTGGTCTAGTAAATTGACCTTTCATTTGGGGATAATCAGGGGCAAAGTGCTTGTTAACATTCGCTATTCTTGGTGTCTTTAGACAGGGGGGAGCAGATGGTCAGCCAAAGACTGACTTCACATGGAATTGCTGTTATTCTCACTTTTGGATGCGCAAAGGGATACAGAGAGTTGAAGAGACGTGTTCAGATTTACCCATTTAACTGGTGGGGCTGTCGTATTAGTCCACTCTACACACTCCTTAGGTTTGTGCTCATTCCCCTGCACAAGTGTTCCCAACCTTTTTGACTGTGAAGATTCTTTAACATGAACCAATTATGCAGATGTTGAGAATTATAGTTTTAAGGTGTTTGGATTGAGAAATAGTGAAAAAGGAAGGGTTAAATGGTATACTCTTTTAGCAATGTTCTTTATGACTCCTGATTCCTGCACCCCTTTAAATAACTTCACAGCCCCCAGAGGTTCAGGGCAACCATAGTCTCCTACTTAGAGCTGCCTCCCAATTTCAGGGCTGTGCCAAGAATGTACGTCAGGGACTTCAACTATATACAAATTTGTAAGTGTATGCAAAAAACCTGCCGTTTCTTCTCTATACTTGGTCATGCTTGTTATCTCCTGGCTCGCTCTTTCCTTTTTTTTTTTTAAATAGAGGCATGTTTTATTTATTTGTTTGTTTGTTTGTTTTGTTTATACAAGCATTGGGTACAGTCAGAAGCGCGGGAGGGTGAGAGAATTCACCAGAGCCAGAGCGGGGAGCAGAGCAGGCAGAAGGACCGAGGTACAGAGGTACACTGCTGAGGGGAGCAGCGGGCGGCAGGAGAGGTCTGCTCGCCATGTGGGACCCTCCTCCGGTGGCCGGGGAGCAGCCAGGGATTGAGGAGGCACTGCAGAGGCGCGGGCAGCTTCGCAACCCAGCGCTCCTGGCTCTTTCTTTCTGTCTTATTCATTGGTATTAAACCCCTGAAATGCCATAAAGATTGGGGTTCTGGTCCTTCACCTCACTTTTGGGGAATGGGAAGTGAGTGGTAGAAGGAACAGAAAGGATAAAGTGGGTAGTGGTGGCAATTGAGGGGATAGGAGGCAGGCTGAGTCTCCTACAACCACGGTGAGCAAAGACAAGGTGAGAGTAAGGGAAGCCCCACGGGCCTGACCATGGACCCTGCAGTATTTCCAGATTGTGAGCTCTCAGCACGAAAAAGCACTGTGAAGGTAGATCTGAGGTTTTTAAAAAGCACAAATAAGAATTATGAAAAAAGTAGAAAAAGATAAGCAAAAAAGAAAATAAACACATGATGCTTTCAACTTCTGGTAACATGTTAGAATTTATTCTTGCAGATTTTTTTGTGTGTCTATAAGCATATAAAATGTATGCATTCTGAGATTGTACAATACTCTTGAGATCTCACTGTTTTTCACCCAAAAATATAGCATTAGTGTCTTTTCCTTTAGAATGAATGTGAGAATAAAGAAATGTTTATTAAATTGGGCATTTTCTAGTTAAAGGGTGTGATTCCACATGATAAGAAATCTTATTTTTGTACTAGGAATTATTAAGACATTGGAAATTTAATATTAGCCAGAATGTTCAAGTAGCCTGTATAAGTACACCCTTTTAGTATGAATAGACATTCTTACATGGTAGTAGGTGGATTGGCATCTTTTGAAATGTGCCCCCCACCCCTTTTTTAGGAATTTCTGTCCACATATATGTTCTGTTGTATCACAAGTGACACACAAGTGTCACAATTGACACTGACATTAGTATTACCTCAAATCCATCTGCATGATACTCTCCTACCTCTTCCACATCTCACCCGTAGTCAGCCTTCATTGTTGAGATCTTTGCTAAGTCAGAGTCCTTTCCTGGCATCTCCTGTCATGTACGCTTCTGCTGCATGTTTGTAAAATCATGTCACATTAGCCTCTTAGTACTAGTCCTCTGGGTCATCCGTCTGAGGGTGAACTGCTTGGAGGCAGGGTGTGTCCTATGTGTAGTGATTTCTCAGCTCCGAGCTCACTGCCTAGTACAGATATTTTCTCAAAAGATAGATGCTGAGTGAACCATTCAATGAATGTTAAACAGTTTTCTGGCAGGTGAGAAGCAATTTCATAACCAAACTGACCAGTTATATAGACACGCAAATACTTACAAGAAGGCCACAATCTAGTGATGTCACATGCAGTGGAATTTCTTATGACTCCAGAGAGACAGAGGTTCCCTATTCCATGTTCTTTGGGTCAGATGTTCAAATTCTTTCAGGGAACAGGTAATGAAATTGTTTGGGATAATGGGGAGTTACGGGGACTGTGGCATACTACAGAGTTTGGACTCTAATAAAAGTGTGCAACTTAGTTTTAAAAAAATCAACAGTGTTTTGGTGATAAAGTAAATTTTTTAGGGTCCCTAAGCTACTGGGGCTCCCAGTGTCTAATTCCGTAATTCATGGGTGCCTTGGAGAGAAGTGCAGGCATGAAGGGGTGGGGGATTTGGGAGACTGGAGAAGAAATCCCATCTAAAAATTTTTTTCATTATGAAGTATATGTTCATTCTGGAAATCCTGAAATTATTTTGAAATCTTAAGGTGTGAGAATGTAAAGAATAACAATTTTTTAAATAAAAAATTAGCATGTTCCTCTTGGCAATGGGGACTTGCTCTCCATAATTTTATTACATCAATTATTGTCCAAATAATGGAATTTTTAAAAAGTGTTCCTTGGAGCCTTGGGAATGGTCCTCGGAAGCTGAGGTGCCAGATGGAAGGGAGTGTGAAGTAAGCTGTGTGAGTGGGTGAGATCTGGACTTTCATATCCCTTTGTAAATTACAGCTGTCTTAGCTTTTTTCTGTTCTGCATAAGATTGTCTTTGAAACAGTTTTCATGATTAAATAAGTTTTAAAACCGCTGACCTAAAGTAGTCACCAGTTTCACACAAGTATAACTTTATTGAAACTTTAAAAATATTAAAAAACTTAAACTTCATCTATTTCATGGATAAAATAATACCAGTAATTATTGAATGTAGTCCCAGCTCTATTTTTCGTTTACCTTACGTCCTATATTTGTAACCAGGACAAATTGGTATTTGTCAGCTATTTTACATTTTATCACTAAGGAAACTGAGGCTGGAGTGATTTAAATGACTTAGAATTATTAAGAAGCAGAGTGTAAGTCAGCATTTGTGTACAAGTTTTACGGGATATTGGTTGAACTGGCATGACTAGAATAGTTGGGTGTGTTTGGGGATGGGGTGGATTGCTAGTGAGATGTCTGCCAGGGGCAGTACTAAAAATCTGCTGGTTGGCAAGGAAGTGCCTGAGTCTGGCGCTAAGCATCAGTAGTTGGAAAATTACGTACATTGGCTGTGGAACCCTTACACAAATATAGGGCCGATTTATTTAAATGCCTCATTATATTTCTCTGCAGTATTAAAAAAACAAACAAATGTATAAGTGAAATTTCATACATTTCAACAAATGTATAAGTGAAGAGAATTTGTAATTCTCTGCACAGATTTGCTTTTGGATAGATTGTGCTGTAGTAGATAAATCGTTCTCTAAGACAGCTGTCATTGATGTAGATGGAATTGTAGTCAAGTTATTGACATGTAATCTTTCTCTTTTTCATTCTCCAAATTTTTGAAATACCATCTCCCCTCTCCCCCATGGAAAAACCAGTGAGAAATATGTTCCTATTAATAAGCCATGTCATTTCTGTTTTATTGTGATATAATTTAGGATTTTGGAATGGTCATCTGAATTAAATGCTAAATGTATCAACCCAACCCAACCCAACCCAACCCAACAAAACCACCCATCATTTTCTCTTTAAAAGAAACTTATCTTCCCAGCCTTCCCTGGCCAGTATTTTGTCTTATAAGCTAGGTATGGGCTCACTTTGTAAAGCTTCACATGTCATTTTCCTCTTCATCTCTTTTGAAATTCCACTGCTCCTAATTTGAGATCATGATTGGCATCTTCATGCCACCCTGTGTCCACACTTGGTTCACACCCTGATCATCTTCATATAGGCCAGTCACATTAACTTAGGGTCTTAATTCTTAATTAACATTTTCCCACCCATCCTGTTCACTTATGCTGGAACTCGCTAAGCATGAATTTAATCATAACATTCATCTGCTTAGAAACATTCAAATGCAACCTCATTTTTTCCCCTATCAAACTTAACCCCGTGTTCTTGACTTTCGAGAGCCTCCCCCAACTGTTCTTATGTATTTCTCAGTCTTCCGGATACCAGCTTTCTACTGTATTGACTTCCTTGTCTCTCCACTCAACAGCCATTTGTCTTCATTTTACGTTAAGCATCCACAGCTGTTCAAGGTTTATTGATTGATAACATCTGTGTCACTTAATAACACTTGGTTTGGATATCAAGATCATGGTTTTTATGATCACAAAGACCAGTTGATTTAATCTTTTTTTTGATCACAAGTGTCATCTCTTGTGAAAGTTAATGCTCAAGAAGAGAATAGAATGAGCCCATGAGTAGAACAAAGTGAGAATGAGAAGTCAAAATGAATCTGAGGAAGGGATGAGAATATAAATAGATCACCCTTTATCCATTACAGATAACAACAGCAGCAACGTCTTGAGTGTAGTTTATTTATATATTGGTGACATCCCTGTTGGTAAATGACATTTTTTGTTGTTGTTACTGAAGTAGTATTGTAGGACATTGATATTAAATAGAAGATTCCAATTTGTTTGGTGTTAAATTTAAAAGGGAGACATCCACTGGAACCTTTGTGTAGTCAGATCATTTTCCCTGTACAGGATTTAGCAGAAAACGAGTTGCTAACTCACCTCCCCCAAGATGATTTCTTTCTCAACATTTTGAAATAGAAATTGAAAAGACTACTCATCACCTGAAAGTGCCTTAGGATTTGTCAACCAGCTCAGAAGTGCTGTTGTAGTTATTTGAATTTTCATCATTGTCTTGTTTAAAAAACAAGTGTAGGTGGTGGGTGTGGTGTGGTAACATACTTCTGAAGAGGTGTGAACATATACTCATACCCTGAAATCATATACAGTGTTGTAAACCATTTTGCATCAATATAAAATGATATAGTTAAAAACAAAAACAAACTGTAGGTAGGTTGTTATTCAAGAATCACTTAGAGTATTTTTACTGTTTTTGAGTAGAAAATTGAGTCAGAATAATATAATTCATTTACATTTGCTCAGCTTTCACATCACTGAAGAAACAAGTCTAGAGAAAATTTGAGAACAAAACACTTAAGAACAGAAGTTGTGTGAAAAAGAGTAAGTCAGATATTGAAAATGTAAGGCATAAAAAATAATATTCAAATAATATTCAAATAAGTCTTCAAATAATATGTTTAAAGACTAAAACTCTAGTTCCTAACAGTGTAAAAATACATAGTATTTCCTGATTTTTTTTAAAGATTTATTTATTTTATACAAGAACTGGGGTACAGGTCAGAAGCGTGGGAGGGTGACAGAATCCACCAAAGCCAGAGCAGGAAGCAGAACAGGCAGATGGACCGAAGACACTGCTAAGGGGAGAAGTGGGCGAGGCAGTAGAGGTCTGCTGCGCCATGTGGCGTTCTCCCTGGCCGATGGGGAATCGAACTGGCGCTGCAGAGGCTGCAGACAGCTTTGTAGCGCGGCACTCAACTGCTGTGCCACTGGGGAGGCCCCTCCTGATATTTTTAAAATGACAATATTTTTCCTACATTATATGATAGCATTCCCAAATTGTTAATTAAATGTTAGGTAAATGGCCACATAGGTTTGGGAAATGCTTAAACAATACTAAACACTTTTAATGGTGGACTTTTAAAAACCTTTCATATAAGTTTTCATTTAGTAGTGTCCATTATGCGTATTGGAGAGGTGAGTGAAGTTTTCAGGTTTTTCACACAGATCTGGAACATGGTGAGAGAGTTGTTTTGTGGAAAACATATTGGTAAACTCCAAGTGTTGTTCCTTAAAAAGAGATTTTGAGTAAACAATTTAATAGAAATGGAATTGCCAGTTCAAATGAAGTCCTGCAGAATTTATTTTCAGTAATTTTTATAGAAGTTGCTTTATGACAAACAAAGCTTTAGTTAAGGCATTTCGAATTTCGCGCTAACTTTTCTACATGAGGGTTTCTTTCTATGGGTCTCTTGCTCTCTCCTCTGTTATGATAAGGACTCTCAGCTATTCATATTCATCAAAGCCCTGAAGTTAGCAGGGCCCTCCCTGCACATGATTAGAAGTCAGTCTCACAAGGAAGTGTTAGAGATAGATAATAATTTTGTGTAGCAGAAGTACTCATTATATCCTCTTAAATTCTGCCATTTAGGCTGCAATGGAGCGGCTGTTTAGTGAGCTATCTTGGATGGAGTATGCTTTCTGGAGAAATTTGTGGTGAGGGAAATCTGGACTATATCTAAATGTTTCATTAAAAAAATCAATGAAGGGCCTCCCTGGTGGCGCAGGTGGTTGAGCGCTGTGCTGTGAGGCTGTTTGCAGCCTGTGCAGTGCCGGTTGGATCCCTGCCGGCCTTGGAGCAACCCACATGGCAAGCAGACCTCTCCTGTCTCGCCCGCTGCTCCCCTCAGCAGTGTATTTCAACCAGTCTGCCTGTTCTGTTCCCTGCTCTGTCTCTGGTGAATCCTCTCACTCTCCCGCGCCTCTGGCCTGTGCCCTGGCTCTTGTATGAATAAAATAAATCTTAAAAAAAAAAAATCAATGAAGGTATCTAGTTTGCAAAATCATTTCCCTCCCGGAAACCAAATGAGAAATTTACCAAAGGAGTTTTAAAACATTCCTCAGAATTTTTTCAGTAATAGTCAGGAAGCAAACTCCCTCCTTTTTAGGCAGTGCCAGTCATTAAATTTGAGGAAGCCACATGTTATACTCCTGTTAACACAAGAAGGAAGAAGGAGGCCTCTGCTTTAAATTGTAATCCTGTGGACTCAGCGCCAGGTATATATTTAAAATGATTCATGTTGATAGCAGACACATGCCTGCATGAACTCTATAGCTTCTGTGCTTCAGGGAAACCATTGGAACATATACTGAGAATCAGGTAAATTCTGTGTTTCTCATTTGGAATTCATTAAGCAAAATCGGAACAGTGAATTTGTGATTGTGTTAGTACATTTATCAATCTAGGTATGCACGTCATTGATCTTCTTAAGAATAAGGTCTGAGCTATTGGTATGTGAGAGTCCTAAGCAGAATGCTAAAATCTGCTTCATGGATAAAAGCTGATGCAGTCATCATTTCTCATTAAAATG